TGCTGGAATTACTGACATGTGTCATCATGCCCAGCTATTTCTCTACCTTCTTAACTGGAATATACAGGTTATATTTTCTTAATGTCTCAGGCCAATATGTTTAGTATTAATTTCTATTCAAGTTTCTAGTACAGTGGTGAGAATTGCAACTACTAAGCCTTAATAAGGCTTACTTCTTCTTCATGCAGAGTAAGTCTAGATTGTCACTAATTTTAGAATATTCATTTCTTTTTATCCCTGCTGTCTTTGTTCTGTTATTTATTGCTGCTAGTAATCTCCCCACCTCTTCATTGCCTATGTGTTTTCATCTGCTACCTATTCATATACTATGTAAACATTCTTGTTAGAATTTTGTCTAAAATACTAGTGAATGAGCATTGAATAAGAAATTATGTAATCTTCTTACATAAAAGCTTTGGTTTATAATTTTCTTATATCTATGCTGTATCTCTAGAGAGCTTCAACTCATTTCTAGGTTCTTTATATGGTACCAGAAAATTTGGATTGTAGGCTCAGCATGGCCTTATAAGCCACAGTAGTGTAGGGCAGACCACAAAGAGACAGCCCAAGGATCTGCCTGCTCACTGAGGTCAGCCATCCATTCGCCCACCCTCCGGGAGGCGTGGAGGTCTGGGAATACTCAGTCTGTGGGGTCACGCAGCCACTTACCTTCATTCGTGTCATCTTCTCTTGATTATCTTAGATGACTTTGCTGTTTTAAAAGTTGAATACTGGTCTTTGCCTTAGAGAGTGGCTGCCCTTTTCAGCACTATAGGCGGCCTCTTCACTTCATTTTTTTTTTTTTTTTTTTTTAAGGATAAAAGGAGGGAAACATTAACAGACATACAGCATTTTACAACATATCACAAGCACAATACAGACAATACAGAGTTCCAAACAAAGTGGTAGGGAATTAACAATGGTGGTTGTATTACATATTGATATCTTCAAAGTGGCTTCTCATGAAAACAGATATAGACATGCAATACTGGTCAACCAAAGACTCATTGACAGTTTCTTTCAGCATAGAAACAGCAGATAGAAGAACAACCATGTTATCTATCCTGTATATACATACATACAAAATTTCTCCTTCTTTCCCTTCTCTTTTCCCACATCCCAGAAGCCCTTTACTCTTCGGTGGTTTCCTATCATTTCACAGTGTCTATCATACCTCCGAGTTTAACTTAACTCTTTCAAGTTTTACACTAGTGACACAATGCGGTGCTTGCACATGTATGTTTGATTTATTTCACTTATGAGTATGGTCTCTAGTTGTGACCATTTAAATATAAAGGCCTCGAGTTTATCTTTCTTTACAGCTGAGTAATATTCCATTATATAAAAGTACCATAATTTTCTTATCCAATCCTCGGTGGATGGACATTTGGGTTGCTTCCACATTTTAGCAATTACAAATTGTGCTGCTATGAACATAGGTGCACATATATCACTGTGATATGATGTTTTTAGATCTTCTGGGAAAATACCCAGCAGGGGGATAGCTGGGTTGAATGGGACCTCTAAACCTAGTTTTCGGAGGAATCTCCAAACTGATTTCCACAGTGGTTTCACCAATCTGCATTCCCACCAGCAGTGGAGAAGGGATCCTATTTCTCCACAGCCTCGCCAGCATTTGTTATTGGTTGATTTCTTAATGCTAGCCATTCTTACTGGGGTAAAGTGGAATCTTAGTGTTGTTTTAATTTGCATTTCTCGAATGACTAATGATGTTGAACATTTTCTCATATATTTATTTGCCGTTTGTATCTCCTTGTCTGAGAAATGTGTGTTCATCTCAGCTGCCCATTTTTGGATTGGGTCTTTGAATTTGGAGGCCTCTTCACTTCAAATTTGTGCTTCCGGAAAGAAAAATTTCATCTAATGAAACATTAAAGTGTTGCACAATTATTAGGTGTGCATACTGCATACCCGTTTTTAAATATCCAGTTCATTCCAGTTTCCCTAAAACTCACGTCTGTGTGGAATATGCATATTTAATCTGGTTTTTTTTTTTTTTTTTTGGTTTTCTTCCGGTACCGGGAATCAAACTCATGACCTCGCGCTTGCCAGGCAGGCGCTGTGCCGCTGAGCTAAATCCCCAGCCCCTGCATATTTAATCTGAATTCTTACCACTACGTTAGGCACAAGGCCAACAAACTTGTAATTCAGAGCGGCTGGAAGGTGCCCTTTAACTGTGCTTGTTATGTTCTGCTTATCTGGCTAGAGCGCCATGGTCAATTGATCAGTTTCACGGCTATGTGTTTATCAGTATCTGTCAATACCAGGTGCTCAACATTGTGTTGCGCCTAAATCCACAGAAAAGATCTTTGAGAGATGGAATCGAATGTGCTGAACATTCTTTATTCCAGCCAACGAGCCTGTAATTTATGTAGACAAATAATGACTTTCCAAGATCGTTTAACGTGTAGAAATAAAATATCAGTTGGACATGTGAATATGTTTTATTTGAGTCTGTGTACTATTTTCTCTTTTCATATGGTTCATAGCCTGTTGGATTCTGAGCATTTCATGCCTAAAACCAGACTCCTATTGCTCCCCTGGCTTCTCCATCACCACACCCACTATGTTTTTTAGTGGAATTTGATGTCATGTTCTGCATTCAGACATCCCTTCATTTGATCAGCTGGCAACAAAATATGCCTGTGTTTATTGACAGTAACTGAAAGAAGAAGTATCCAGTGAGAGAAAAAAGGCAGCTCTAGAAATACTTTGGGAAAGAAAGAAACAATAGATTAAATGGGATTTGACTTATCTTCTTAGCCCTCTGTTGCCTATTCTCTTCCTTCTCAACTGAGATCTTCTAGAGCAGATACATCCACATTCATCTGGACTTCCACAGCAGCTTCCACTGTCTAGCAACTAAAGCGCAATCATTTTCACATAGTGAACAGAACTCGCCTCCCCGTTAGTAGGTGGCTGGACTCTGCCTATTTTTCCTCAGCCATTTCGTATGAAATCTTGCTTACTATCTATAGTCTGCAGCAATCCAGCAGCCCAAAGAAGATGCATGTGTAAATATAAGACTGTTCTAAAATATTTATTTTATTAATTTTCCTTAAAAATAGGTGCTTCCATTTATTAGCTTTTCTCATTTGTATGGTACCTATTCAGTACCTGATATGTGCTAGCAATAGAACAGCGCACCATCTGAAACCGTGGGATCCCATACACCGGACACTGTGTTCAGTGTCTTGTGCTACATTATCTCATTTAGTTCTTAGTCTTGTGAAGTGGGTACTATACTCAAATTGAAAATGACATTTTGGAGATTCAAAGCTTAAATTTCCTAGGATCTCACAGCTAAGAAGTGGAAAACTGGGAGTCCAACTCCAACTTAACTACTGCTGAAGTTTACCCCCAAAGATTCTCCTATTTGTAAACTATAAATCCAAAAATGTAAATTACATCAATCAGAACCTGAGCTGAAATAGTAAGGCTGATTAATAGTGCAGCGTGGAAAAATTTAAGACCCTAGCTCTGGGTCCATTGCAACATATTTTCCCCCAAAACAAACCTACCTCAAATTGTCACACTAGGAATGTTTGATTAAATCCTCTAAATAACTCTTTGAAAGGCATCTTAAATGGTCAACCTTCTGCATTCATTTTAATTTTTCTGTACAATAAAAACATCTTTTCATACAGACAGTGTATAAATCTGCATCAAGCTGCTGTGGACAGTTCTGCTTTCTAACTCAAACAAAATGGGTCAGTTTTTATCCAGATTAAATAATTTATTCATTTCTTCAGAAAACAGTGACTCAGGAGCAGCTATAGACCATGCCTTTTGGTAGGTTATGGAAGATAGCCAGGAACTCTTCTGTCTTGGATGTTATGTGTGAAAGTCAGGAAATACAAAAAAAGAAAATCTCAAAGATGATTATTCCAGTGTGTGATGAATGTTAGGAAAAATATGTGAAGGATCTGGGAGCGGGTGGGTATGGGTAGGAAGGGTGCTGCCTCAGACGGAACAGTGGGGAAAGGCCTCATCAAAGAGAGAGTAAGCAAAGACCTGCACGGTGAGAAGTCGGCCAGACAAATAGGAGAAGAAAAGTTCTTAAAAGAAATGTGAAAGCCCAGGAGCAGGAACAAACTCCATTCATTGTTAAAACAGAAGAAAGGCTTTTGTAAGAGCATCAGAACTGGCAAGCTGGGAAGAAAGGTGAGGTCCAGATGACATGGTCTTGTGGATGTGACGATGTGACTTACGGTTGTCCAAACAAAGACACATAGAAGAGTGGAAGAAGAGGCGCTGAACAGTCAAACCAGGACAGCAGGGTAAATCAGAAACTTCCCAGGCAGCACGTGAGGGCAGTTATTCCACTTATATGCCCAGCTGAGGAGTTTGAATTTTATTCCAGCACAGTTTAAGCGAGAGAGTGATATAATCTGATTTACATTTTGTACATGGCCCCTTGGACTGCTGTTGGAGAGGAACTCCTGGAATGGAACTTCAGAGGAACTTCAGAATGGAACCAAGAGGTGATGGTAGCCTGAATGGTAGAAACAAAGACGAAAAGAACGCCCTTGATTAATGATGTTTTTGTAGATAGCGTTAATAAGACCCACCCATGCATCAGAGGTGAGAGAAAGAGACGAAAAGTGACTGCTTGTCTGTGTGTCTTCTCGCTCAAAGCTGTGGGTAAATTACGGTGCCATGTGCTGCTGCATGGAAAGATTAATGAATTGGTTTGCGGAAATGATGGAGAACATGTGTAATTAGCAATCTGGCTTTGTGGTAAGTTTGGGATTCTTGTTACACATACAAGTATAGATGGCAAATAAGCCGCTGGGATGCTTTCTTCTTACTCCCTTCAGGACAGCTTTCTTGTAATGTGATCTGCATCTTCAGTAAAACTAATAAAAATGGCTCTCCACTCTTCCAGGAAGGCAATTTTTTCACTCATTATCTTCCATTTCGTTTTGTTTTCACCATTTGGTGTTTGAAATTGCTAATATGACTCATTGTCTCTCTAGGAAAGTATAGATCTGGGTGAAATCATGTTTTCCCTGTGTTATTTGCCAACTGCTGGACGTATGACGTTGACGGTCATCAAGTGCAGGAATCTGAAGGCAATGGACATCACTGGCTCATCAGGTGCGCACTCGGCTGGCCGCGCATCAGGGCAAATTTCCAACTAAAGTACTGCGTGGGCCTACAGTTGTTCATGGCAGAATTATTTGTCTGCAGTGGGGTACAATAAAAGTAGAAAAGAGGATTGCAGATTAAAATGTGCCAACTCACCTATTTCACAGATATTATTTTTCCAAAATTTTAAGTTACTATCAAATAGGATAACCATGAACTTAAATTCTTTTTTTAATTTTCGTTTTTATTAATACAGAAAAAGGAGGTACAAATGACCAATAAACACATGAAAAAAGTGTTCAGTATCACTGGCCAGTAGTGACCTGTTTTTTTTTTCTTTCTGTACTGACCTAATTCTATCTCAGAAATACATAATTTACAGTCTGCTCCCTCAGTATCAGTCAGTCAGATATTTGTAGAAGAGGGTTCTTGGACTCTACGCTGTGGACCTATAGTCTATTAGAGGACATGTTTAAAGAATGTGTGTTAACTGTCCTTCCCTGACCTCATCTGTAAAGGAATAACCATGTTCCAAGGCCCCCATTGGCACTGGCACTCTTGCCCCCTTTCCAACTCAAAATTAGGCATTTATAGGGACTGCAAGAAATAGTAAACTAAAGTAATGCTTGTTTGAAGTTCTTAAAGGAACTCTTGAAGGGAATTTGTACTGTAATAAAGAGATAAAGCTATATCATGTCCTGTATCCATTGTTTAATCCCCTACCATGGTGGAAAATTATTTATAACTTACTACGGGAGCTGTAACATGGTGCTGTGGAAGAAAAATGAGAAGGGATGAGTGGGGAGAGCAGTAGGTATTTGTTGAGTCAAAGAAATAAGAAGCAAAGCAATAATGGCGGAGGTCTGGTAAAGCATGACAATGAGGAGGAGCATCTATAATTTTGTGCTTCTTCATAACAAAAGAAGCCAAGTTCACAGTGTAAAAAGCAAGATAGATCTCTAAGTTCTGATAGGAAGAGAGCTCTAAGATACACAAGGCACAAACATAAGTATTGGTACCCTGCTCACATCTGTGCAGGAAGGAAGGATTTTAGAGCTTACATTCATATTGCCAGGATTTACATAAAGAAATAAAGGAACAATGCAGAAAAACGATGGGCAAGGAAGAATGGGGACAGAAGGAGAAAGACTTCCTGCATACCTCTTTCTCTGACATCTCAGTGTTAGAAGTATGTCATGACGTACCTATTTTTTTAAATTTTATATAACGTATGGTGTTGAGAAATGTAGAACACCCAGTAACTTCAGCACTTATTTTGGTGAAAAATTTGGGGTAAGTGGCAAAGAACTTAAGATAAACAGTATACTCTGTAAATTATTGTTTTTAGTCTACTCTTTTCCCCATATATCAAAAGAGATCAAATTTTAAGACAAGTAAACAGCATTAAAGTTGTAATTAAGTGCAAGATTCCTTTTTTTTTTTTTAATATGAAGCTTTTCGGCAGAGGAGCCTGTGCCTGCGAGCACCACCTCATTAATCCTCACAACAGGCTTGTGAATCAGCGAAGAAGCCAGCAAATTATCCTTGTCAGAAGCAGAGAAACCCAGCCAGAGACGTGATGGGGGTAGCAGAGGACACACTGTGCCTCATTCCCATTGTTAATAGGCCTGCAGGCTCACCCACAAAACCCCGTCACCAACTGCGCTCCTTCCTTAGCGCACACTTCCTATCCCTTAAAAAATTAAAAATGAGTGGTAAACAGACCTGAGCATCGCTCTTTCACCTTGTCTTTTCCAAACATGATTGCCAGGTATCCAATATCTTTGGTTCCTCCATGGAAATGCTCTTGAAATATATAGATACATTTTTCTCCAGTTCAAATCCCACAAACTTATAAAATACATTACAATTGAAACAGAGAAAAGAGATGGCTAGGCGCCAGCGAAAAGATGGCAAGATGAAGGAAGGGAGAAGAAGAAGTGATTAGAGGGAGAATTGATTGTCCTAACTCTTTGGTATGCTCCCATGGCCATAAGGGGCTTAGAAACTGTTGTAAATGTCTATAATGTTGTAACTGCTTTTCTTAATAAAATGGAAGATAGGAAAGGTAAAGAAGTAGGAACCAAGTGAGTTGGGGAAAAACCTGTTAGAATTCCTTGATGCCTTGGACACGTAAAAATATAGCCAGCTATAATTTTTCTCATTCCAGTTGACACATAGATACTGTCACTTCAGAGTCGTCTTTCTGAGCACCATTAAACAAATACTACCTTTGGTATCACCTATTGTGGCATATTTACTACATTTTTTGTAGTGATCATTTCTTCAGTCCAAACTCCTCCTCAAGCAACCCAAATGCCTTATTGAGGGTGATGAAAATACATCTAATTTTAACATCTTCTTTAGCAATAGAAGAAAATTCCAAGTACAATTTAGTTTTTCCTTTTTAATTTCTACTCACTGAGATTAAAAATACTTGTCTACATACCATCTTTCACAAGTTTCTCATCTTAAATCATCCAAAAAGAAAGTAGCCTGAATATAATTATTATTCATTGGGATTATATCCTCTGTAGATCACTTCTCACCAAATGGCTCCTCAAATAGCTACGGCCAAAAGATGTAATAGACAGTTCAGGACTAGCTCTTCACAAACTAGGTAGTTTCCTCTCCTAGATTAAAAACAGTGTGATCAGACTAATCTTTGTGTAATTTATTCAGGATTAATTGCTTACTTTTAAGATAAGAAATCCTAGAGAATCTTTCACCCCCAAATGAGCCACTTCAATTTAAAACTGGTACTCCTAAAGCGCTTACTGCTAGTTTTATTTATGCGATGTACAAAGGTTTTCATTTTAATAAAATGACCTTCCCACTCCTAGATCCTTATGTCAAAGTGTCTCTCATGTGTGAGGGTAAAAGACTGAAAAAAAGGAAAACAACTATAAAGAAGAACACTCTGAACCCTGTCTACAATGAGGCCATTATTTTTGACATCCCCCCAGAGAATGTGGACCAGGTCAGCCTCTCCATCGCCGTCATGGATTACGACAGGTACGGGGGTCTCTCTGCCTGCGGGGAGCAGCCATGTTTAGTAGCATGCCGGTGGGATTCAGCTTTTCAAGTTACTCGCTACTCCACCCGTTTCAGTTTATGTGGGAGTTGGGAAAATACGCATTGTACTTCATGGTTCTGTTATAGTTGGGGGCTTCTTTTTTTTTTCTTCCAAAACAGGTCAGTTCACCTGGGGTGGTGTGAGACGAGGTCCACAGGTGGGGTGGAACACACTGTGGAAAACACCACTCTGAGGTCTTGTTACAGTAATAACAGGTTATAGTCACTGTCTTGGTTACTTTTCTCTCTTTACTGAGACAGAATACCTGATGCCCAGAATTAAGGAAGGGAAGGTTTATTTAGCTCACAGTTTGTGGAGGTTTCAGTCCATACTCGGCTGGCTCCAAGGCAGGGTGGCACATGGCGGAGGGCAACAGTTCATGGTGGCGGAAAACAGCAAAAACAACAAGAGCAAAAAAGGAGGAGCAGCAGCAAGCAAGCCTCTTTCCCTCCCTTATATTGTATGCAGGCTACCTGCCCTGGTACACCCAGTGCAGTGCAGGTGTAGCACTCATACCCATAATCCCATTGGACCAGGAGTCAATCACAAACTCTAGAAGCCTGCCATGACAGCACGAGGCTTTGGGGCACATCTAGACACAGACAGTAACAGTCACACCTTGTTACCACAGTGAGGCTGAGACACGACAGTCGTATTGCTTAGCAAGCTGAATCATTCACCAGCCGTGTGAGAATGCCCTTCTGTCCTCTCTTTGGGGTTCACCTTTCCCACTTGTGAAAGAACAGCATGCTATGGAGCAGCAATGGCGTCCTGGCTTCTGTGAGCAATGATTACGAAGAGTGGCAGGGGAAGCGTGGCCGTAGGGAGACAGCCGTGCTGGTTCACATCAGTCTCAAAGCGTTCTTTTGACAGTAGTATCCAGCCACATGCTTCGAGTTATCTCCCCTTGCATAAAATGCATTGCAGGCCCCTCGGTGCAGCTGCTGAGGTCTTCCTGCTGCAGCTCTGAGCTCTGCGCACCACTCTTCCTCTCTGCAGTGGCCCCCACTCTGCTCCTCCCGCACTCCACTTCACCATGCAGCTTGGGACAGCACCCTGTGCTTCTCGGCTTTCAGCCTCTGCTGCCTCTGACCTTTGGTCCCACTAAATGTTCCTGTCTCTTCCTCAGCCCATACGGTGCACTCTTTTTTCTTACTTTGCTTTTTGTACCTGCAAACTTTTTGGAAAGAAATGCTGTATCTTTTACCTACAAAATTCTTAGCACATAAGCAGAGTCTCATTTTTTCTGTTAAGGACACAACTGGTACAGTGCATACACATGCATAAGAGTTTCTGGGCTATTCTCTTAGGACATGGTCGTAATCATGACCCTGTGACCCAGGGAAACTACGGGGCCATTCTCTGGCTCAGAGCTAGCAGAGGATTGAACATAAAGTGATCCGTGTGATCTGTTTAAATTAGCATCAAAGGAAAACTATTTTGTAATGATTTCAAATTAGTTCATATGTCAAACTCTAAGAATATAAATATTTTCATCAGTAACCCAGTTTTGCTTTATCGATTACACTTACTGACTTTTCACAGCAGTATGTGCAGATGGATACAGTTGAGTATTTGGCACCCAAGCAATTTTGAGTAAATGGATCCTAGTAACATATAAAATAGGCTGATAAAAAATTACTCCTAAAATATGCCTGCTTGGGAAATTTCATACTGAGGGAAATTAAACTAAGTACAAATCTACATCAGTGATAAGAAAGTAATAAAGAAGCTCTGAAATCATGTCAAAAGTCTCTTTAGAGATGTCAATCAAATAACTCTAGTAATTCCTTTAAATTGCATTCTGCTCAGGAGAAGCAACCTAACACACATGGCCTTGAGTCTGCTGCCCTGATTTGGTTCCTGCCTCTGCCCCGTCTCAGGTGTGTGAGGTCAGATCAGTGCCTGACTCCATCACGGTTCAGTGTGCTCCGCTGCAAAGGATTTAGCTAATTTACCTAATGAGGTAACGGCAGCAATGGCCACGACCATGGCTGTTGGTACATTTAAACTTCTTAGATGCTGTCTGGTACATAGTAAGCTCTCAAACATATTACCTGTTAGAGTTTTTGATTTGTTACTGCAAAAGCAGGACATGAACAGAAAATAGAAATATGTTCCTGATAATACTGCTTCGCAATAAAGCAAATGTGAGGGATGAAACATAACCCTGCCCTGTTTAGCTGTAGGACAAACAGTTACATAAACTGATATAGCATTTATAGACAACTACGTGCTCTTCTATGCAAGAAAGTGGGAACAGTGTTCTCAATGTGAAATCCAAAAGCTGTTACAACACACTACACCATGTAGAAAGGGCAGGGTTTGATTGACATCATCTATATGTAACAGACCTACTGCCAAGAAAGAAATGCATCCTATAGGTAAGGACTTAGGGGTTATTTGCATTCACACTGTTTGTAGCATTGTGAAATGTGCTTGAGTTGCAGCGTATGGAAATGGTTTGTGTATGCTTCTTAAATTCACTTTTGAATGTTGATACTCTTTAGTAATTTTTATTAAGAGTTTTCATTTGACCAGATGTAGGAGGCAGCCATCCCTTCCTGTGTGTACTGTGGTTTTTCTCTATACATATATGCCCAGGATAAAATTTAATGTATAAATTAAGCACAGTACAAGATTGACAACTAATAATAAAATAGAAAAAGTACAGTAGCCTACTGCATTAAAAGATATTTAAAATTTATGAATTACTTCTGGAATCTTCCACTTCATATTTTTGAGTCATGATCGACAGTAACTATCTAAAACTGCACAAAGTAGAATCACAGATGCCGGGCTGGGGTACTGTAATCTACACAGTCAAAAAAGCTAGTGTTTTAATGATGTGCTCAAAATTCTATTGATACATGTGAGGTTCTATTTATCTTAAATATTGGAGATGAAAACATAATATTCTACAAACCCTAGGGTGGGACACAATGAGGTCATAGGAGTGTGCCGAACGGGGATAGATGCCGAGGGCCTTGGGCGCGACCACTGGAATGAGATGCTGGCCTACCACCGGAAGCCCATAACACACTGGCACCCCTTGCTGGAGGTGAGCGCTTGACCTCCTCACTTCCACCCTCTGTATCACCTCTTTTGCTTCAGTGTTGCTAATCTGCTGACCTTTCCCTGGCATTTTATGCATTCACCTGTTAAAAAATTGCTCGTGATTTTGTCTCATGGTGTGTGACATCTACTAGGCAAAGTTTTGTATGTATCAAGCATGAGTTTTTAAAACCACTATATGTTCTACGCTTCAAATTTCTTTATTTCTTTTTTTTTTTTCACATGTGTGGTACTGGGGATTGAACCTACACAGGTACATAGCTCTGGGTTACCTCATTAGCCCTTTCTAAATTTTATTGTAAGACAGGTTCTCACTAAATTGTCCAAGCTGGGCTCAAACTTGCAAATCTCCTGTCTCCAACTCCAGAATATCTACAGTGACTAGAAAGGTTACCACACCCAGCTTGGGCTTCCAAATTTTTGGACAATAGGCCATAAACACTGCAAGTATATCATTTTGTTTTCACAACTTGAAAACCTCCACCACTGAGTAGTGAAGAAATCTCATGAGTTTATTGCTAAGCGGAAACAAAATTTTAGGGCCTTTCAGTCACCTATCTAAAGCACTTCCATTTAAGAATCCTTAGAGAGAGGTACTGTCACCTAACACGGTGCTTCTTTGTATGGGGACACATCTGTCCCCTTCTGCTCTAACTCTGGTCAGGAAGGGCCAGCACACTTTAGGCACACCGAGGGACAAGCTTATCTGATTCAAGACCTGGTTGTGGGGGTGGGGATTTAGCTCAGCGGCAAAGCGCCTGCCTGGCAAGCGCAATGTCGTGAGTTCGGTTCCCAGTACCGGAGAAAAACCAAAAACCAAAAAAAAAAAAAAAAAAAAGACCTGGTTGTGCTGTGTGGCTGTTGGAATCTTGGTAAAGATGTTCTCCTTCTCTAAGTTTCTGCTAAGATACTGTAATAGTAGTAAATTCAGAGTAAAGCTCAATAAATGCTGAATACTAAGTGCTTAGCACTGGAAATGGTGCAGCATTAGGCCTTATTATAATTATTATGAGTATTAGCCAGAGGAAGGTGAGGACTCGCCTTCTGTCAGGAATTTTACTCATAAAGTTAGTTGTCGGTTTACAAGACCCAATGAATGTCACCAGGGTAAATGGTTTTCTTTCTCAAAGATAATATCTGGATCCTCCTGAAGAGTCATAGTACAAATAATTCATATGATCTGATGAACTGAGAGATAATGCAGGTTCACAAAAGGGTAAGTAACAGGTTAAGGATTTTATATTTTTCACTAACAAGAATATAACAGTCAATGAGTGACACTTTCGCCATCTCCCCGGGGATATGGTTCTACTTCTCCTTTTATCACTGGGCACTGGCCTGAAGAAAAGGAGAGACAGTGCACCATGTTTGACTAAAAAGCAGCAGAACCAGGTTTTAATTTCAGCTTAATCACAAAAACGTGCCCTTGGCTGTGCTACTAAAGACAACGTAGAGAAAATGTGATGAACATTGGACGTTCAGACAACAGGCGTGAACTGTCATCACTGATATCTCTGTCCATATGAAGGCCCAAGCCTTTATCTGACTTCATAATTTAATGTAAGGAGAGAGGGGTGAAGAGGAGAGGGGGACAGGGAGAGAGAGAAAGAGAGAGAAACCCCAGTAATATAGAATTTTCCCCTAGAGTGTTTCTTAAGTAGAGTCAGCCATAGTCTCTGAAGAGCTTAGTAAGTTTTGATAAGTGTGTTTCACGTCAGCAGTGGATATTGTGTAAAATATTCTCTACTGCTGTTATTTAACTACTGTCCTTTCCCTGGTTCTCCTCTTTTGTTATTGTTGTGTCTTATGTTAGAAAAGTGAAAATTAACCCTGAAGATTGAGACAGGAGAGTTAAATCTTGGGCAGGCAGCAGCCCGCACAGAACACAGCCCCTGTCCTTCTGGACGGGTCACTGTCCCCATGGGCCTCGTGGGGTGGTGCAGAGAGAAATGAGATCATGGGAGCAAGAATTTTAACAAATGTGCTAATCTTCGATGACCCTTACTAAGCAGTTACACATGTGTCTGACGAGCAGGCGCTATGGAGCACACGTGTGTTTGTGTCGGAGAAGGCGAGCATGTTGCAGTCATCCCAGGGTGTGCAGGGACATAACTAAGCTCCAGTATGGGCATCTCAAAAAGATGCCAGATATTTTTCTGACAACTGAGCATCAGAGAACCAGTGGGATTGAAAGACTGTAACTGTGCTTTCTGCAGCAAATAGCTCCTTTCTTCCACATTCATTGGTCAAATGCACTGTATGGACCAGACCTAAGAACTGGCTGGATTTCTCATTATGGGAAAAAATCAGTATGTCATTGTGTATCCTTGGCAAAGAAGCAATGAATTCGAGGAAAGAAAAATTAGTCAAGAGCTGGGTAACCGGGTGTGGTGGCCCACACCTGTAATCCCAGCCCTCGGGAGGCTGAGGCAGGAAGATCGTTGTGAGTTTGAGACCAGCCTGGGCTATAAAGTGAGCTCAAGGCCAGCCTGAACTGCATAGCAAGACCCTGTCTCAAAAAGACAAAAAATAAAAAAAAGAAGAAGAAAAGAAAAGAAAAAAGAGCTGGGTAACAGTGAGGCACACTGAACTGTCATCTGATTACTTCTACCCATATAATTGAAAGTTTATTCTATTGACTAAGCTTTTTCAGTACACACAAATTTTTAAGGATCATGAGGAATTATATTTCTTCATTCTTGGGTCTCACTTTCCCAAACTCATTCCTCATCTCATTATCACCTCCATTTAAAATTGCCTCGTGGACCAGACATGGTGGCCCACACCTGTAATCCCAGCTCCTCAGAAGGTGGAATCATGACTATCACAAGTTTGATCCCAGCCTGGACAATTTAATGAGACTCTGACTCAAAACTAAAAAGTTAAAGCCTGCCGGCAGTGTAGCTTGACAGTGCCTCAGTTCACTCTCTGTTGTTGGAGGAAAAATCACCTCCTGTTTTGCGGCAGATGGAATGCAATGTTATGTGTGTAAAACTTCTTGTTGTTCTTACCTAGCAGTTGTCTTCAGTATAGTAAGGCATTATTTTATCAAAAGCATTCAAACTCTGTCATAAAGTGTGAAATTCTGTTGTCATACATAACTGCTATAGACTGCTGCTCTGTGTACCATCCATGCACCATGCTCGGCGTACACCCCTGACCATTTGTGTCCTCCCAGCCCACCTGAAAAGGTAAGTTCTCGAGGGTGGGGCATTACATACATCTTCTCTTCAGACTTGTATGTGGTGGGTAAATATTCAGTATCATAAGGGAACCGCAATTATCCACTATGTTACTTTTATGCACTAGATAATGTTACAAAAATTACTGTCTTTCAGTTACCTGGCCGGGCCACCAGTTTTGATAGTCAAGGATCCTGTTCCTCTCCCAAACCACCTTCCACACCGTAATGCCTCCGATGTAACACCCTGTAGTAAGGACCTAGGACCATGTGCTCCTTGGATCAGGGGGAAAATAAGTGGAAGGTTTGATTTCCTCACTTAAAATGTATTCATAGAAGTGAACAAACCTGATGTGCAATGTTTTTCATTTATCTTTTCCTCTGCTTTTAAACTTTGAACATCTTAATATTTTTTACTTGAATATGAATAGTCCTTAGTTACATAAGGCATTTTATCCCTCATGTCATATGTATTAGCACAAAGAGAGTTTGAAAATGTAATTGCTTGCATAAGCAAAGAAAGTGTTTTTTTTAAAAAAGGAATCAATACACATTTAAAATTAAACACAGTTTATGCTGCTATTGTATAGAGTAGTGTATCACATATGTGTGGTCTTGCTTTTGTCATAATTTGTTCATTTTCAGTTGTGCCCTTGGTTCCATATAACCTGTAATGCGCATTTTAAACTTCACATGCGCAGTGCTGATTCCTTGTGCATTCACGCTGATGTCGCTTCTCTGATACTAGTCCTATTCTCCTTCTCAGTATATTCTTTTCTTGGTGAGGTTTGGGTCTTCCAAACTCAAAACTCTGTCTCTCTACTTTGTGCTTTAAAAAAATACAGAGAAGTCTGTAAACGAAGCTTGAGCCCTTCTGGCTGCCGTTTTATACTGTCTGTCACATTAGCTCAAACATCTGTTGCGTTGCTAACTGATGTTTTAAAATTTCTGCTAATCTTAATCTCATGTGAAGTGTTGGTTTCCTGTGTGATGCATAGAATTAGAAATTCATTCTTTAAGTAGTTGTACGGTACTCAAGTTTTGTGACATGTATTTGTGACGTGACGCTACCACACACATCTTCTATTTCTGACAGATCATAGTCGCAGACACCGAAGTTACCACAGAACAGTGTGTGTTCACTGTCACTTAGAGAATATGCAGGAATGGTGACTCAAAACCAATCAGAAGCTTATCATTGAAACTGGGGATTTTCCCACACAAAGTGTGACTTATTTTCTAGCGAACTATATAATACACCATAAACAGTTTCCACAAAATTTAATAAAAGTAACAAGTTAGTTTTAAAGGTCCAGACCTCCAGTTCTTTCATGAAAAGGCATTTTCCTTCAGAAGGATGGAGGATCCTACCACTAGATGTAAAAACTATGCAATGTTTTTACAGTACACTCTTTCTTTTAAACCAGGTCAACTTTTTAATGTCTCATTTTCTGGTCCAATTGGAAGGTTATCTGTATTGTATTTCCCCAAGCTTCCTTTGGAGATGTACACTGTGGATGGTGCCTATTTCAATCTTATTCCAAAAGAAGAATTTTAGAAAAAGAAAGAACACTTACACTTGGGATATGAAAACAAATTCATCAGGATGAGGACATTTTATTGCCAATTGTGAAAATTTTATTTTTATACATCCCTTATTCTGATAAAAATGAAACCTTTGAAGCCTTGAAGTTTTGTTTCCTGGCATTCTACATAAGGATGGAATCACTGCTAAGATGTAAATATTTTGCTCATTAATATTTGAAAGGCAAACACAGTTCTGCCTGTAATTTTACAGAAAAGCTTGTACTATCTCAATGAAAACAACTCTTCATAGCTAATGGTTTCTCACAGAAAATAATAGGAAAAACCTGCTTGAAAATACTTGGCTATCTTAGCAAGCTGAAAAGAACCATTTGCTACTTGGGCACAGTGACTGAAGATTTTGGAACTCTTTATTTTAATTGGGGAAAAATTGTCCAATGAAGAAAACACTATACAATGACATTTTCTGGAGACAATTGTTTTATTAATAGATACAGCTACAGCCTAAAGTAAATTAATAGCTTCATTTCCTGTGTAAGTGAGTATAATATCTATTTATACCCCAAAACATATTTTAAGAACTTCTTCTTTTTAAGGATTTCTTATTCATCCTTAAAAACTTACGCTTTTGTTTCATAAGGAGAAAAAGCCAATGTTTGTGATAAAAAATGACTTTAATGTGAGGATTATAGATTAAGATGAGTTTTTAAAATATTTTTTTAAAACTTGAAAACTTTTCTTGGGGATTAGAATAGACTCATAGTGTCAGAGAACTTGTTAATCCTGTGAAAAAGATTGAAGGGAAGAAATTCACAACTCATCTTGCATGTACTACATGAGGGATGTTTCCCCTCAGATCGACCAGGCATGATCATTCAAAAGGGCAGCTGACATTATGAAAATGTAACCCTATCACATCTAACAGAAGATACTCTATTCCACACATACATAAACACATGAGTTATCGTCTTTCTGCTTGTGAAGAGGAAATATTTTCAGTGTTTAAAGTTTGATGTTAGAAATATCCTAACTAACTTATGTGGGCTGTCCCATTTTAATGAAGTATTGACATATTGTGAAGTTGTAGTTTAGGTATGTAATAAATACCTAATTTCAGGGACTTATTCAGGGACTTAAATGAGATAAGTGTACGTAAAAGATCAAGTTGTTGATTCATTAGCACAACAACACTGATATTCATTTATTTTGGGGTTCTGTTGTTGTTCTTACCTTTATTTAATCTTTACACAAAACTGAACAATTCATTCTTTTCCTCACTAGTTTCCTAAGAATGTTTTTCTTGACAATTTCAACTTTCTTAGTCTAGCCAGCTATATTCCCAGTACTTTACTGTACCCTTTAAGTTCACAGTATGAATGCATTCACAGTAGCAAGTATTAAGAATAATGCCAGGGGTATAGTGTTGTGGACACAGAGCCACAGACTTTCTGGGACAGTTTTTTTGGGGGGTACACGTTCTAGCTACTGCAGGGAAATCACAACTGATCAATACTGACTCAGGTTTTATACTGAAGCAAATATATTTAAACTTCTTTGGTTGTGACATTTAATTGACACACACAACTATACTTATTCTCCTTTAAGGTTTCCCTTATATTATTTTAAGATTTTGCACTCAACAGAGATGTCAATATCATAAAGCTTTCATTTAATGATTACTTGGAAAATGAAGTCAAACTTCCACTCCTGTCTCAACTTTACTCTCCATAAAGCAAAATGCGGCTCATTTCAGAATGAGTTAGAAAGATAAGCAAACACAGTCACAAATAGACACAAAATCTTAATAGTGAACACATGGCAATTTATTTACCTTTTTGAAAATACTACTTGACTTTAGTTAAGAACGTCTACATTCACGAGATGGAGTGATCTGATTTTTTTCCCCGTATTAGTTGTTATTACAACCAGGTAACTTGATTACCTAATAATTAAGAAACAAAACTGAGGTTGATGAGGATTTAAGAAAATCTTCAGCCTCTACAAATCTAAAGAAAATGTGAAAATTTGCATCCTTCACAATTTCATTCTAAAGCAACTCAAGTTGTTCTAGGGTACTTTAATTGTTCTTAAGTTTTATAATCGTTAGGCTAAAAATGTATTGTCATCAAATGATGCAAAAGAATAGAAAGTAATGCGATGTAAGGAATCAACATAATTGTTGATATAAGCAAAGATGTTATAGTATTTGAAAATAAAGATGTTGAGATGCAAAATCAAAAAATCCCTTTGTCTTTTAACTTTGAGTGAACAATACATCCTCTCACATTGTTCCAAAACACTCCATGACACAGCATTTAATAGTTACTCAGAGACACGGCTCAGGATATAATTCATCTGAACCTGCTTTAAGGACTTATTATTTAAAAGAAAATGAATTTGTATTGTACATGGGAAACAGAGTTAATTAAACAAAATGTTGTTTCCAATATGTTATTCAGTGATACCCTTTTAGGTAAGAATTTTGTCTTATTATAAGACTTCTATATGTACTAAATATTCTGTTAAAGTGAGGGGTAATTTAATAAAAGGTGTGTTGATAATTACTTGTCATCTGCCATTAACACTTAAACAAAAAAAGATGTGTATTTGAACATTGGCACTAGATATTTGGTTCAAGTGTATTCTCATCAAAGCAAAGATGTTCATTTTTACCACATTCAGCAGGAAAATCAGAAACCCGGGTTTGATTTGGTAGCATGAAAACATGCTGTGTAGACTTGGAGAAGAAAACATGAAATTAAAGGCTGAGATAAGCTTAATGATTTATTGAATGCAAACATTTTGAATATGAGAAACAGTGACTGAAAGGATAAGCTAGATAGTTAAAAGAAATGATGGACTTCTTTATACAAGAGATGATTTAAATATACTCTTATCCAGAGGAATTGATTAGATTAATTCTATTTTTACCCCTTCTGAGACACTAGAAAGGATTTCCTATCGATATATATTTATATGGAAATATTTAAATCTCAATCTCCAATAAATCTCTCTGGAATCTCACCTGGACTTTGAAAATGCTCTCCAAAGAGTAAAACTGTGTCTGACCTCGGCACCAGTGGGTAAAAATGAGCGATTTGATTCTGAAGTTCTGTTGCCATGCACCTGCTGTGCAAGGACTGCCCGTTAACTGTATAGAACGGTGAATTTCAATTATTTCACTTCAGGGTTTTTGTTCCCTCAAAAACAATTTGTTGCTGAGCATAGTGGTTCATGCGTATAATCCCAGCTATTAGGAGTCTGAGGCAAGAGGATCTGAGTTTGAAGTCTGCCCACCTGGACATCCTAATGATACTTTTGTCTCAATATTAAAAAAATGAAAAAGGCTGGGGGTCTTGCTCAGTAGTAGACTGCCCCTGAGTTTGATCCATAGTACCACAAACAATTTTTTTTTAATATCAGTTGTATTATAAATGTGAGTCCATAGTTACTAAGAGAAGTAAGTTTCAATGTTGGAAGCTTATTGGCTATTTATTTTTGTCATCTCCTTTATTTTATTTTATTTTTTTTTTTGGTTTTGGTTTTTCTCCGGTACCGGGAACCGAACTCACGAACTTGCGCTTGCCAGGCAGGCACTTTGCCTCTGAGCTAAATCCCCAGCCCCTGTCATCTCCTTTAAAAGATTCTTTATTCTCTCCCTCTGAGCATCAATACTGAGAATTATATTTGGTATAGTTTCACTATAGAATAAAGTTTGTAGACCCCAAAATAACTATAATCTCTAAGATTGTGTACAAACTGACAAAATATTCATTGTTTATAAAGATTGCATGTTTTCTTCTGTTTGTGTTTATGTAAATCATCTCATGGATTTCATTACTATTTCTAGGCTTTTTGTCTTTTAAAATATCCTTTAAGCTCCCCATTTAGAGAACACAGCAGTCTCCAGTGTGAAACTTCATAGATTCAATTAGTGCATAAATAAGAAGTAGAACAGCTCCAATATACGAAATCATTTCTTCCATAAGCAAAAGTCCAGTACCCAAGTTTTGTCATTAACATAAACTTGTTGGCTAGGCGTGACAGCACACATCTGTAACGCCAGCATTTCGGAGGCTGAGGCAGGAGGATCGTTGTGAGTTTGAGACCAGCCTGGGCTACAAAATGAGCTCAAGGCCAGCCTGAACTGCATAGGGAGACCCTGTCTCAAAAAGGCAAAAAAAAATCAACAACAACAAACAACATGTTGTTGACCTTTCTGAGAGACATGATTAGATTAGTCTACAAGCACAGAGAAATTACAAAACACAAGTGAAATGTTCCTTTCAGAAGGAAGAATAACAAAGCCAAAGCAGAAAGGAACTGCTTCCTGTTGTGCATGTGATGACTGCTAACCCCCACAAACAGATATTTGCCGGTTATTTTGGACTGGCAGGAACTACTAAAATTCATTTCATGCATGACATTGAATATTTTGGGTCCCGTGTATTTGATCTTTCTTTGTACCCTTCAGTCCTTGTTCATAAGGTGACTTTTTAACTGAAGTTTGTGATTTCGTACTTAGCCATTGTTCAAATCAGTATCTTTGACTTCCATATCATAGAAGAGAAATTTTAAAATCTTTTCAAATTCATGTTTCTGGCTTTTGTACATGGTAAGCAGCCATTTGTGAAACTTGACGGCTATAATTGTATCACTTAGAACAAATGTTTTGCAGCCACCTTTAGAAGATACTACACACTGCAGTATTTTTACAACGTCTTCTTTAGGATGTGTGAACGTATTTGTCAGGTTCAGATGAATTACGTAACAATGAAACCTCAAAGCTGTTATGAAGTATAGTTTATGATTACTTTTGTAAAAGAAAATGGAAAAGCACTTGAAATATAATTTTACTGTTTCATATGTATTTTGAAAAAGAAATAAAGTGATTATAAATTATGTTTGTCTGTCTTTGGAGAAAATATCTTTACCAGATTTAATTTTGATACTTCTGTCATTTTAAGTTTTTCTTTAACAGACATCATTTTTGGCACTCGGTAGTACGGTCATTCATTTAACAATAATTCAGTAACTTAAGGACTAAATACTGGTTAAAGCCCTCCTTTAATTGGCACAGTTTCTGCCCCATCATAAGGTCATAGCTGACACTCCATAACAAAAGACAAGTTAACAAGACAACAGCATAACAAATTTATTTAATCAAAGTTATATGGGGCTGGGGCAGTAGCGCAGCAGTAGAGCACATGGTTAACATGTGTGAGATTCTGGGTTGAATTCCGTAGCACTGCCAAAAAAACCAAAACCTTTTCACAGATGTGGGAGCCTTTAGGTATGAAGACCCTGAGACCCAGAAATCTGACCATTTTTGTCCCTGCATTTAATGAACAATACATTACTGTGTACCGGTGTGGCTGGACAAGAAGGTTCTGGTGTAATGGTCCCAGGCTGGCAGGGGAAACCCAGCAAGGCCTGTCTCTTAGATTCGTGAGCTATTTCTTCGTCCTGGGTACCTGGTAGGACCCTTTCTACAATAAGGGTTTTATGATCTACTGTCGGACAAGGTAGGTCAGAAATTCCTCTATGACCAACTCTTACAAGGAAAATAGACGAGTAATGTTTTAGTTTTTATGGCAAGCTGTTGGGGAGAGGAGTTCAAGATTCCATGGCTTGCCTTTAAAGAGAAAAGGAAGCCCGAGAAAGACAGTAAGGAGACAGCAAAAGATCACTCCCAGTGTCCCCAGTTCAGGGTGCTCAGCATGCCTATAAACCAGACTTCAGAGTGTTGATTTCTGAACTGGAACACCATTCCTATCACAAAATTGTAAATCTTAAGTTTCTAAGTCATTTCCATTGACAAATAATGAGTCAAGTGTTAAAAGAGGTAAACGTCATTTATATGTACTGGCTAAATTTGTTTTAGTGCAGAAAAAGTTCCAAGCCCCTAGAAATACCTGAGCAGGTGATCGGGAGTTGGGGTATACCTGTTAGTTAGCTTGTTAGTGGCTTATTTGTCTTGGGTTCTCCAACACATTTTCCTGACGAATATAGAAACAACAGCTAGTTTTAAGCAGTTAGCACTGGCTAAAGGAGATTCCTCACTATTGGCAAATCAGATGTTGTATATATGCTTTAGTTACTGTTTACAGCTGTGGGGAAAAAGTACAGCCTGTAAGAGGAAGCAAGTCAGTAAAGCTATACTTGTGCCTAAAATTCAGGATAAAAGTCAGTGGTCAAACCTATCTGGCTTTTTGCTAGGTCCTTATATCCTAAAAGTGTGAGGAACCTGAGTGAAATCTAAGTTGCTTCTTTAAAAAGCAGTCAAATTGCTACTTTTTAAGATGTTCTTAAAAGTCTGACTTTTTCTAAATTTATCCCTGGGAAGGATTTATGTTTATAGTCACACTAGTTTAAAATTTATATTCCCAGTAACAGTGCAGCACACTTCGCAGGAACCCTAGAGGACACGGGCACTATGATTTGATTGTTTGTATTATTGAGCACAAAACGATGTTAGTGTTTTAAATTCTATTTCTTTTTCTCTCCTAATGGGAATGAATCATCTTTTACATATTGATTGGCAATTTGGGTTTCATCGTTGAAATCTTTTCCATTCTTATGTTGAGATCTCCTTCCTCACTACTTACAAACACCTCTAGAGAGGTGTTCCTTTTTTACTTTTTTTTTTTTTGATGGAGATAAATCCTCTTATATGACCTTATCTTAAACTCTTTTCTATTCTGCAAAGCAGAAGGCATAATGTAGTCATGAGTAAATATAAGGAACAGTGCAAGGAAAAGTTTTATCTCTTGAAAAGCATGAGTTGTATCTTGACAGTTTCCAGTATGATTTTGGACTATAACCACTGTGTGTCTGAAAGAATTAGAAATAATCCTTTTTATGGATAAGCCATAGTCACGTAAGAGTACGTTACGTACTAACGTCAACGTACAAACGTAACAATCATAGTACGTTAACGTACTAACGTAAGCCATAGTAACATGTGCTATTGCTTACAATCCCATTTTGTGCTACATTTGAACAGTTTTGATTCTATTCACTTGTAGAATGACGCAGAACAACAGGAAGTGATAGCCATTAATGTCCAAAGAGATGAAAACCAAAAAACTGAAATCACAAGTAGGACATTTTGTAGTTTCCATTTTCAGGCTGCAGTTAAATTTTTTTTTTAATCTTTTCTCCAAATTTAAAGCAAAATGTCATCCAATTGAAAAGAAATCAATCCCACTGTGAATGCATTTAGAGACTATAACACTGGATTGTGACCAATTTCATGAGGAAGTGTTTTTTTTTTAAATAAATACCCAGATATATATGACTAAAACAGTTACCTTTAATGGGAAGCTAGACTTGAGGCAGTGACAAAGACGCAAACCAGAAAGTGAAGAGCTACCAAGCAGGTATCGTATTTAAAGCACAAGACATAAATAGGTCATTAAATTGTACTACTCCAGGAGGTGTCTTACTATATCTGTGTAAATGCTGCCACCAGCAATGCACAAATCCAACCATCTTAAATTCATAAATTAGGCATCAGCAGTAAAGCTATATAGTCTTGGTTACCTTAGCCCCAAACTATAATTTGAAGCTAGGTCAGGAATTGAAGGCCAGATTTTTTCAGTTGATCCCATTACTTATAACCAAGCACGCTGCTCATTACATACCATATCCCTGATCTCTGTGAAATCTCTATCATGTATTATTGTGACCATTTTAAAGATGAAAACACTGAGTTTCAAATCAATTAAGTGGATAAGTAGGTAGTGAAAGGCAGAGCACAACTGTGTACATGGACTTTATTCATAGTCTGAGCTTTTATTCTTTTTTTTTTTTTTTCTGGTACCGGGAATTGAACTCACTACCTCGCGCTTGCCAGGCAGGCGCTGTGCCGCTGAGCTAAATCCCCAGCCCCTTAGCTTTTATTCTTACAAGTCAGAAACTATAAAATTAAAAATATTTTCACATGTCCTTTTCTTAATTCTTACCACAACGCACGTGGAGTTCCTCATCCCTATTACACAGACAGAGTAGCTGAGGTTAGGAGATGTGAAGTAAAAGCCTGCTGCCATGCAACGGAGAGTTGGTCCATCTAAATGTTTCCTAGCACGCGCAGTATATGATCTACCTTTTAGTGAACACACTCCACCTATGATGAAACAAAAGAAAACAAGTGTATGTTTTGCCTTTGTACATAACTCATCAAGAGGAGTTATATAGAGACCTCTCTGATGTTTACTTATTTACAAATTACAAATCAGTTATATCTGCCTGATCTATAATAGTTAATGTATTTGCCATATTTTGTGATCTACAAAAAACTATGAAAACCGGGTGATGCTAGTTTTTACGGCAGAGATCCCACATTAATAACTGGGACCCATGGAGAGGGTAAATATTTGTAAAAGCCATAAAGATCAAGTGGCTCAGGTGGGAAGGGACTCAGAAAGACTGCGCTGATCTGAACAACATCAAGCAGAGTGGAAGAGCAGTCGTGATTAGGGAAGAGCAGGTTCCCTGTACTCAAGTCCTGGTGGCTTCTGTTAATCATATTTCATCTTTTTTTGAATTATTTTCCTATCAGCACTACCCAAATGTAGGCTGTGCAACCTCTTTTTTGCATTTTATAAATTCTGATAATTGGTTTGTAAAATCCCTAGATGTAACAGGTAAAATGATAACTTTCTTAGGTGAAAATATAGGAGAAATTTTCAGTGACCTTGGATTTGGTAACAATTTCAGGAAATAATAGTTCAGGATAAACTAGATATCATCAAAATATAAAACTTCTATACTTCAAAAGACATAATCAAGAAAATGGCTGGGTTCTTTGATATGTGAATTTCATCCTAATAAAGCTGCTATTAAAAAAGGATAAAGAGGGGCTGAGGACTTAGCTGAGCGGCACAGTGCCTGCCTGGCAAGTGCGAGGTCGTGAGTTTGATTCCCGGTACCAGAAAAAAAAAAAAAGGATAAAGAAATGATAAAAACAAAATCCAATGTAGTGTTTATGCAGAGGTAGGAACTGAAGGGATAGAATGAAGATAAATAATATATACATATAAGCCAGGCATGGTGGCACAGGCCTATAATTCTAGCACTCAGGAGGCTGAGGCAGGAGGATTGCTGCACATTCAAGGCCAGCCTGGGCTACATAGTGGGTTCAAGGGCAGCCTGAACTGCATAGTAAGACCCTGTCTCAACAAACTAAAAAGCAGATAAAAGATAGACAGATAGATGAGAGAGATCACAAGAAACGGTCCAGTTCTTGATTGAGTCATGGGTGCCCCATGTATTAATACATGCATGTATGTCCATGGCTATACACATAAAATAGGACAGCACTTTGCATAGACCAGTGAAGATAATTTGTCTACAAAACAAAAGTTATGATTAATACAATTTGGGGCTACTGAGATCCACTTAAAAGTAATTGATTAACATAGACCCTGTTATAGTCTATGTATCACATTCCCTGTTCACAAAATTGGATTAGCAAATCAATTGTGATTGAGTGGATCAGACAGAGCAAAACATTAATTTTACCTCTTAAATTCATAAATGCAATGATCAATTGTGTTTGTCCCTTTAAAAATCTCCTTCCAACAGAAGGAAGACAGACTGTGTCCCGTGGCCATCTCCTCACGGTCCCAGTCTCCCCCATGGCCGTTTCCCCGTGGGTCAATCTCTTCACTTTAATTTGCCAGTCTCAGACATCACACAGACTGTGTGGGAGATTGAGCAAACTGTCGGAATGGGGTACAACAAACAAAGTAAACCTAGGTAGACAGGAGTCCAGAAAATTCATAATTTTAAAACTCTACCCTTAAGAACACTGCAGCTTCAGGTCAAAGTTACCCGAGGTCATAATGCTTTCCTTAATCCCAAAGCCTATCCCCCTGCTCATTTCAGGAAACTCACTCCAAACAATGCTAAAAGTCTTCAAGATGCAATAAACCTGTAAATTGAGCCAGCACTCTTTCAATGCTACTGTAGATCTGCAAATCCCCAGACCTCCATGTCCAAGGAAACAGCTCTATGAAGTAGGAGGACATCACGGAACATCAAACACGCGGAAATGATTTGAGACCCAGCAGAGCTCAGGGCAGGGTCATGACAGCTGCTGGGAATACGCATCCTACACAGCAGTCTTACGGACTCTGCAAGAACCCATAAAACCCCTAACCCCAGCCACAAGGGCCTCTCTCTCGAGCCCCCACTCCGTCTCCTCTGAGTGTGCACCCTTTAACTCTGCCGGCTGACCTGTCTGTGTCTCTCACTGCTGCGTCCTGAATTTTATTTTCTGACAGACGTTGACTCACCTGCAGCTACTGCATGAGTCAGGTGAGTGAAGTCTCCGCGTCCTCGCTGCGGAGCCTCGTCTCCCGACCCTGTTCCTGTGATAACGGTGGCAGCCCTGGTTGAGGGGCTGACATATAGACTCTGCTGAGTGCTTCGTCCCTCCTCCGTGTTTCTAAGCACTTTTGAAAAGAAAGGGGTCAGGAGAAAGACGATATTTTTACTTTGACATCCTTAGATCAAAATTCTCAGTCTTTAACGAGTGGTTAGGTGGGGAGTTAAACATGAACAAGCCCGAGAGATGAAGGGAATCCAAAATAGTATGCTTTGCCAGTTACGGTGAAGTCTAGAAAGAAAGATCTCACTGAATACAAATTCATAATTACATATTAGGTTTCAGGGCTTTGGCATTCCGGAATCTCCTTTTACTAGAGATGAATTTTAGGTTCTTTGGGTCCTGAGCAAAGACTCGATCAAAACAAGCATAAACATCGGCAACATTTTATGTTTATTAAAGGTAGGACGAAACAGGCTCTGCAGAGCAAGTTTGGGCCAAGTAAAAGTAGAAAAAAAGAAGAAGAAATACACCTTACAGTGCAGGGTGGGCCATCGTGAAGAGGCCGGAGGGCAAATTTTTAACAGCAACTGTCCATCTTCTGTATTTCTCACGGTGGCTTCGGTCTAGGTCCTCCTCTCAAAAACCGGCTCAAGTTCTCACAACGCGCACGCGGGGCTTTGGGCACGGTTTTGCGCATGCGTCCTGGGAGTAATAGACCACCCCCACTTACCCAATTGCTCTTAGCCACGCCTTCTCGCCTCAGCAGGGCGTGTTTCCGGAAGAATCAGGCTGAGAGCATTTGTGGCTGGTAGAGACGCTGGCTCAGTGATTTTGTAAGAGAAGTGTGGGTAAGCATCATAACTGCTCCAGTCCCCTCAACCCCAGGAGTAGCTCTTGTCAGGACAGATGCCTTCCGGGCCTGCCTGCCTCCCATTGGAAGGTGTGACTCTATGTGTTTAACAATAGATTTTACCTGTACCTCTGCATGGCCGCCTGTGTGTCTCGACCGAAGTCTTTCACTGGGCCATGAAGGAATCCAGGAGGCTCCTAAGGGCCACTTCCTGGCAGCTTCAGTCCCAGCTTCCCGGTGACAATGTGATGTAGCAACTTGAAAGGAAAAGGAAAATTCAAACTAGGATGCTACTTTCAGCATGTCATTTGAATCCTTAGGCAAGCTGCATTTTGGAAATCTTGTTTCAGATAATCCATGATATTTACAGTTCAATGTGTTTTCAACAAATACTATAATTTCCTACTTGTTACACATTTTTCTTCTTCACAGATATTTTGGGAAACAAAATGTCTCGTATTTCAGACGCATAGCATGATAATATATTTAAAGTTTGGAACTTTCAGAGTTGCTTTCTTCCTTATCAAGCCTTGCCTTGTTCAATCTCAAAGGTAGATATTCGGGCTGGGGATTTAGCTCAGTGGCACAGCGCCTGCCTGGCAAGCCCAAGGTCATGAGTTCGATTCCTGGTACCGGCAAAAAACAAAAAAACAAAATCAAAGGTAGATATTTTGCATCTTCTCTAAGATTTGAATTTACATAAATATGCTAATTATAAGGCACAAATTTTACTCAAATCAATATTGATTTAGTAAAGTATATATTATTATTATTATCCATTATAAGAAGTATATATGTCATTTCCATTTGTCTTATCAATTATAATTAAATTTAAGAATCCTTTTTTAGATAAATTTTGATTCTGACTCCAGCTCCATTGCATGAGCTGTGGGGAACTTATATTTACTCTCCTCTCTAACTCTTGATCATTTTATCTGCAAAATAAGTGGATAGGTAACAGGAAAAAGAATGCCTACACACTGAAGCCGCACACACTCAGTACAAGCCTGAGAGAGGTGGGAGATGCGGGCAAAGGGGATGGATGTATACACGGCCAAAGCAGACGGAGGGATTCTAGAGAGAGAAGTGGCACATGCGCGAAGAGTTGGTGTAGAAGGGTGCACAGCGAGCAAAGCTGTTTGTCTTTGCAGATGAGGTATCCCAGGTAACAGCTACCATCTCTTCTTCCTGTGAGAAGATCTTTCCTGTGCCGAAAGGGAAAGGAAGGGCTATCAGACAGAAGACCTTCTATCGCTGCCTGCTATTTACTAATGCAGATAAATGCAAATATCATCCTACAAAACATAGCTTTTCGGAGTCATTCATGTGTCTACAGAAGTCTGCAGTTTCTCTAAATAACCAGCTCAAAATATCCGCCCCAAATATATTTGGAGTGGACTACTTTGATCTTGCTCTTCTGACAGCTGTCATTTGGTTGTATGTCAACATTTCCATCCAAAACAATAAGCCAAAAATGATTTAGTTATCAATGTCATGCGTTCTAATTTTAGGATTCTACTTTTTTTTTTTGGTTTTTCTCTGGTACCGGGAACCAAACTCACGACCATGCGCTTGCCAGGCAGGTGCTTTGCCGCTGAGCTAAATCCCCAGCCCCTAGGATTCTACTTTTAATTTGCACAATTTTGTAAGAACGCCACCATCTTAACTAATACATTTAAATAGCTTTTATGAATTCTGTTTCCAATAATACAAATTATGCATTAAATATAGGCTTGGTAGTTTAGATAAATATAGTGTCCTGTGAATTTAAGCTGCATTCTGTTTATAATGTTAAATGACTAGATAATTATAATTGCAATTGTGCCTTTTGAATATCTGCAACAGTTTTGCCATAAAATTGGTACTCACTTCTTAATTAAATTGATCTCAAACATATTTAATGCCTTATATTTTTTAAATTGTACTCTTAATTCTTTATGAGTAAATTTTTATTGTTAGAATAATGGAATGCTACCTCTGAGTGTAAAATAATGAGAAAAACCCAAACCAAGATATTTTAAAATTCAAGTTTAAAACTTGTTTTAAAGGTGAATTTCAATTGATAGAATTTTTTGCTTTAAAGGTGAATTTGGATTGATATAATTTCTTCCTTATTTTCTTCACTTTCAAACCATGGGGATATTATAATTTTATATCTAATCACAATATAATCTCTTATATTGGCCCCACATAGAAACTGCTTTATAATAATAAAACATTTCATTGTTTTGTATACTTCACATATGCATTAAATGCATAGAATTGTTGTAAAATATTAATATTTTATTTTGCCCAGTTTAAGTCTTCACAGGTAACAAATAAATGATATCCAATCACAGCTAAAATTTAGAAGATTTTGTGTGTCTTGAATGGTAACGTTGTACAAAGTCAACATAAACCAGCAAATATATTTGAGAAGCCATGTGACCAAGAGAGTGCAATGCAGCTTTAATTTTTTTTTTCTTTTAGAGGTGAGCTGCTTCTCTAACCTTCATATTGCAGGAGTAAGCTACCCCCTCCCACCTTTCCTCAGCTCACTCAAATAGACAAGAAACTAGCTGTCAGAAAACTAGCTTCTCCCTCTAAAAGTGTGTGTAGTACTGGCCCCAGGAGGTTAGGATCAGGTTAATTTCCACAGGGGAGGAAGGGAGGCAGAACTGAGGGTGCCCAGGGGTAAAACCTCAAGGAAGTCACCATGTCCACTGACTCACTGTGTTCCTCCCCTCTTTCCTTCAATACATGCCTTGTACATCTGCAGAAGGCAATACAAAGATTCAAGACAGAGGCCTCTGCATCTCTTTCCCAGCTAGGTTGAGGTAAACTTTTGTGTGTTTTTCTTTTCCATCAAAGTTGCCTCCCATGTTTCTGACGGAGCAGTGGGCAGTGGGAGCATGAGAAGCAGCAGGTAGGACATACGAAACAGACTCAAGCATCCCCGTCGTTATAATCTTTGGATTTACTGTCTGGCTGAAAATATTATAGCGCTTATCTTGTCACAAAGGAGAGAGGAGCATGGTTTTTCTTTTATATCACTTATTACTTGCACTTTTGAAAAATTTACTGCATTTTAATCATTGCACATTCTCCGCCCTCAAATTGTGGAGCTGGCACAGAGCGCATTAAACTGTAAGCTGCACTGATCCTATTCTTGAGATCAGAAAGTAAAGCAGTACTCATGGGGTTTTGCAGGAAAACAAAATTATAACAAAAAATTCTGTAGAAGACTAAATTCGTATTCAACAACGTGGCCCAGAAAAAGTTTTTTGATATGCAGTTGTTCAGAAAGTATATGTACGCATACACAGTATAAAATATTTGAAGATTTTAATAAAGTAAGAGTCAAAAATCAAAGGTCTTCAAAAAGAGAAGCCATAGTATAAAATAATAGTCTCTAAGAAGTAAATTTACAGAATAAGAAATTGCTTTAATAAATATTAATTCATTACAGAATAATATAGTATAAAATATCTTGAAAGAGAAAGCATGGTATAAAATATGAATTGATGGAATAGAAAAGTTTCATATCTCACCAACAAAACTGGAAATAAAATAGGGGAAGGTGTGGAAGAAAAATAAAAAGTTGAATGTATTATCATACATTGAAAATCTTTAATGGATAATATTAAAAAAAATAATAGTTATGTTACATGTACCTGAAAATAGACACTACTATAATGAAAACATAGTATATATACTAGCTAAATTAAAGAGGAAAGAACAAAGTAGCCTACATAGTACAAAATAGAATAAGGTAAAAAGAAGAAAAACAAGAAATTATTAAAAATATTAAAGTATATATATAAAAAAACAATCTCAAATATTAGCTCAGTAGAAAACCTCATATATTTCTATCAAATACTATCAGATAAATAGCAAATATTCAGCAATAGGTGTGGGGTCCGTTGGATTCTTGCTGTACCCTGGGAAGGAATGGCAGCAAGAATGAGGAAAAAATAGACAAGAGGCAAAAGCTGGGGTCAGGTGGAGGTCCTCTCTCTCATGGGAGAAGGCAAACTGCCCAAGAACGGTGGAGCATTTATTTATACAAGAGGTTAATTTTTGCCTCGCTGTCCAGCAATCAGTTAACAAGCTACAATGGCTTGTTTACGTGTTTCAAGGAGCTCTTGTGTTCTTGCAGTTCCCGTGTTCTCAGGCTGGCTTCGTCCTGCACCTGAAATTACTTTCCAGCTTACACGGCTTCCAACATCTCTCTCTTCTCTGCTTTATAAATGATGGGCAATTGGCTGGAAAGGCTATGCTTGGAGAATACAGTCCCAGCATCCCTAAGAGTAGTCAGTTACCAGTCTAGTTGGCAAAATGTCTGAAGTTGGTGATTGAACTCTTTACAGCTCTTACTATGGCAATGCTTGTTTACACATCTTGAGGTTATGCATTTCTACTGGAAGTTTAACACCAAGTTAAGGCAAGACCCATATAAATCCGTTTTTGCCTATACACCAAGGTCAGTTAAGTCTCTGAAGGTTGCTTTGGAACCACGAACAGCACCTCTAGATCAGTGTCAGCCATCTGGATGAGTCACAGCCTTTGCTTGACCAAGTTGCTTTCTACGAAAGCTTGAGAGACCTTTTCTCTCTAGGTGGCTCTCCTTAAGCACACTGTACATCCTCGTATCACTTTCCTCTGTGGTCCCATAATCTCCTTGATCAGAAAATCAGGGGCTGAATGGAGTTATAGGATGTAATAGCAGAGGCACTCTTCTGTCCTGGGTTTGCTCTGACCTTGGAGGGCTAGGACCAAAATACTGACTCTCCTCTTAGCCTATTTATCTTTCTAACTTTTTTTTTTTTTTTGGTCTC